TTGAGATGTTTTAAAGTATTTTTGTTCATTTAGACAAGTCTTTTTTGTACATATTTTCAAAGTATTTGTTAGGAGAAGTAATACTGATGTAATGTGGCAACCGGTGTGTGTTTACTGTGTATATATATATATATATATATATATATATATATATATATATATATATATATTAGCATTACACAGTTTTACAACAGCTTTAAGCCAATCAAAATCAAGGAGCAGAACGGTAACAATTTCCAACAAGCCCTTAGACTTTAGTCCTTCACCTGATTTGGCCTATTGTGGTCTAAATGGTTAGTAAGGGATACAACGTTCCCTTCTGCTACGCTGTCAAAATCTAACTTTCAAATCACACAGTATTTGAATTCTATCAAGCTATGTAGTAGAAAAATATGTATCTGTCAGCAAACCCCAGGAAAACATTTCATTTTTCATAAGCAGTAGTACATCAGGGACTTGTATTCTTTCTAACATGACTTTATGACTTGCTTTCTGCCTCTAGTCAGTGTGCAGAGATCAGTGTGTGCCTCACTCTTCCTCCAGCCTAAAGTCAGTCTCTGTGCACAGTAATGTGAAAAGTTAAAATAGCCTCATTAAACTGCTCATTAGCTGCGTGATAAAGTCACAGCAGGACAACACTGCGGAGCACGTGTTGTTGAACAAGATTTAAGAGTGCCTTTTTGGACTTTGGGAGGTTAAGAGAACCTGCTCTAGTGATAAATACATTTAGACTTCTCCACAGGCGTTAATGATGATAGGAAATAAATGACACTGGTGTCGCCCTGGATAAATGTTGTGTAGTCTGGGGAGACAGGACGCAGCCTAGCCATGCAGCTAATCTGCAGCTTAAGAGAAAAAGGAGAAGAGGAATGTCCACATTTATTTTTTTCAGTCATTATCATAACTTAGTGAGTCATAGCTCGGCTGTCATCCAAAATCTGCCACATGATGTGACCCTCAGATGCAGCTGCTGCCCTGCGAGAGGCACGCTGTGTTTGTTTCAGTCAGGGCAGGTTATGTGTAACACCAGGCGGGCCCCATGTGGCTTTAACACCGCCGCCTAATTACAAGCCTCGGCTGATCGTTTTCTCTCCACCTCCCCTCGCCGGCCTGGTGGGCGACTTCACTCCGACAGACTCTGCACGGCCGCGCTGACCTTGCTGAGCCTTTCCCTTCCCATCATTCCCTTTGATAATTAACATTTCATGTGGGAGCTGCAGGAGAGATTATCTTCTGGACAGGGAGCACAATTAAGCACTATTACTGTCATGTGCTCGACATCGCTCTGTGTAAAGGACCTCCACTTTCTCCTGCTGCTATATTTGAGGGATATGGGATGCACAAACTAAACAAACTCTATTTGTGATATGACCAAACAAGATTTAAGATTAGACTAAAGTCAGGATTTATGAGAAAAACTCAGTTTTTAATCTAAGAATCCTGAGAGAAAAAGAGAATTCCCATATTCAGACAGCAACAGTTTTGGCTGCTACATTCATAATAAACGTGTTTGTGGACCCACCCGGTGTTGGTTTGGTCTTTTATGCCCATAGGCTGTTCCAGAAAAGTCCATCCATAATCCGATGAACTCACCCAAGATCCTATAACAGGGCCAAGACTGCGTTTTACTGTTAGTGTGTATTGACGATAGGAAGGTTCTAGAAAGTGTTTGTTGTGCTAATGTTCGGTGTGATGACGTTTCGTAGGCAATTTATTTATTTGTATTTATTTATTTTTTATTTATGTGGGAGAAATGATAACGTTTGTACTATTTATTCTTCTTTAGTCACACAATCAAACTTCCAGTCGAGTGAACAGGAAGTGGTATCAACCTATATTTGAGGTGCATGTATAATATTCCAAATCAACCCCACTCCATAAAGAATATAACAAAAGCTTCTTGTTACAGACGTTCCTCTATGTCCAGCGTGAGTGATGTCATTTAATGAAATGAATGTTATGCTCAAAGCCGGAGCTCCTGGCATTCTGCCGGGTCACCGTCCCTCCACAGAGCCGCGGGGCCATTTCACTCCGTGTCACTCACGCTGCTCTGCTGGCATCTGACGCCGCTACTTTTTAACGTTAAACTGTCTGCGAAAACATGCTGTGGCATTTAGATAACACGCTGATGGTATTTCCAGGAAAAATCATTTCAAATTCCAGCTGAGATGATTTGTGCAGATTAAGTGTCTGTGCTCGTTGTTGGCTCTGTAAGCACATTCCTGCTAAATAGCTTGTCCCCAAAAATGGCAACATTTTTTAATTTAATGACATGGATAGTAGAATTGAGCTCTGTTTGAATACTGACTTTTCAATATATCACATTTGGCTAGATTCATTGCTGCTTTTCCATTTTATACCAACCACTATTTAGAAATGAAACACAACCATTGCACCAAAGTATGAAATATTGCACATTCTTAAACTATGAGTAACTCCTCCATGTTTACAATGCATGGTACATTGTCAGTATGCCGACGATACAGTTCTTTACAACCTAGCAAAAAAACAACTAAGAACCACTTTTTTAGCAGTGTAATTGTTACTGTTTTTGATTGTGTAGAAATAGTAGGCAGTTGTTGATTTCCAGAAGGAATTGCTTTGAAACTGCCATATTATACATTTGTCTAATTGTAAGCTTTCTGGCTGAGGAATAAATAGTACAAACTTGATCATTTCTTGGCAATTTTAAGAACTGAAATGTGCCAGTCTGTCACAATTGGGAATTGGACCATTTAAATGTAGACAGTTAACTATTCCTCATACTCCGAGTACTATTATTACATTAAATTAACCGCACTTGTCACAGTGGAAGAAGACACCCTTTATATTTCTTCATATAAGCATGCAGAAGGTTTGTTCCACGTACCTTCAGAGTGGTTTTCAGTGTCATATTGACAGCTCTCCTCTGGGTCTAATTTCACTGTTGACTCTCTGATAGACACAGCAGGAGTGATATTTCCATTTCAAGAGATATTTTTACCTCCTAACATTTAAATCACTGTCAGTCTTTTTAAAATCATGACCATATCAGTGGAATACATAACCTTCTCTCCATTTCTCAGGATTTAAACAAGGACTTTCTAATATCAGAGGCTGTTTGATAGGATTTGTGATGCTTGTCAGTGAGCATAGAAATACTATAAACTGCTGCCATCCATGGTATTACTGTGTACACTTGCTAGCTGAGTATGTCTTTTTTTTATATCATATCATATAAACGCCATTTTTATTTACGTCTGGTAGGTTTCTGATCCGTTTTCTCAGACGTTGTTCATGATGTATCTCTGGTCTGGGTTTAGTTGTGTATGCAGTCTATTTTCTGGGCTTCTGAAAAGAAGCTTTGACTAATCTGCACACATCCTGGGGAGCGCCTGGTGGGCATGCTCCTTCGCTCGGTTCCTTTGAGGTGAGGAGGAGTCAAGAAGGGTAACGGGAGAGAAATGACTGGGGGAGAGAGCAGCCTGTGGTCATCCTACAGGATGTGAGAGGCTGCCAGAGGCCGAGTAATCCTCCACCCCTTCCTCTCTATCATCCCCTCCACCTCACCATGACAAACCAGATCGGCTCTCTATCAAAGAGCCACAGGCTGCCTCTCTCTTCTTCCTCCTCTTCTTCCTCATTTGTCATCCACACTGCCTGGGTCTCGCTCTGCTCGCGGGGACAGGCTGTCTCTGTCAGGCTTGGCCGCTGAGCTCACAGGCCTGGCATGGCGGAGCCCCGACTCCCCCCCCCAGTGGCAGCGCTCATAAAGCCACTTAATGGGTTTAGGCGCGTTTGTTAATTTGTCAACAAATGTGCGATTCGGAGCCGCTGCCAGGCCGGTTGCTCTGGCACTTGACTGCAAGGGACCTTTTGATTCCTGAGCCATGGGTGAAATAAAATTCAAAGGCTTGCACATCGTCCACTATTTACATGTTGGCACCTAAGGCAGCAGATCTCCATGCTGAAAGGCTTACAAACAGGCCGAGTGCTAACCCATTATTCTATTGTCCTAATGTAGATGGATTACCAACGCACGAGCAAAGACAATATATAATAATTACGCCTTGGCATATTTAGCATTGAAGATGATCGTGTTTAAATTCTGTCGGTGGCCCATTTGTTACGTTTAATTTGCAGAAGGCTCAGTAATTACCTTAAACAGCTGATCAAGGAACATTTCTCCAATTAAGGTCCATTTGTTTGGGGCTATTTTCAGCGGCGGATGAATCCACCTTAGAGTTCTAGTAGCTGGATTCCTGATAACTTTATAATATTTTTCAACTACAATGGAGTTGTGTCGCATAGAGGAGAATATATACTGTATATAAAGCTGTGATACTTGTTAACTTCTCAAGCAGGCGTTACCTGTTCTCTGTTGAAAAGAGTTGGCTACACACACAGTTTTTCAGGTCACATGGACATAGCTGTTTAAAGGAGATAAGTACAACTCAAATGCAACAAAAGAGCTATTATACACAGAGTACAACCTGCTATTTTCATACAATGAGAAGGCGAGTCTCATTTACTGAGATGAAAGCTTCTTTAATTCATGCATTTAACTGTGAAGGATGCATTTTACAGAGATGCTGGCCTGGAGACTCACATTTGGAACTTCATGAATTGAATAAATAAAATACTACATAAATGAAATAATGGAGGAGAAAAAAAGGAAGGCGCGATTAGAGTTCTGGTATCACCTCGATGCATGGTGACCATCTTCTTAAACATTTGCTTGTTTTCCACTGTTATTTTGTACCCTGTCTTTCCATTGCATTATGTTGGGGGGCTGCAACTTCAACTGTTATCTTTTTTTATTTCAAATAAAAGCAGAGAGTGAGAAAAGCACATTCCCATCTGTCATATTATCATCTGGTATACCAAGTTTGTAAAGTGCGTGATCCAAAGTGAAGATAGCACCTGCTTAATCTCCTTTGGAATGAGCTCTCAGTTTGGATTAATGTGAAATACCTTTCAGTTATAAAGTTTATATCTCTTTTCCCTTTTCATCAATCCAGGTTTCCTAAGCACAGGAGACCAGGCGGCCAAAGGCAACTACGGACTGCTGGATCAGATCCAGGCTCTCAGGTGGATCAAAGAAAACATCCAGGCCTTCAAAGGAGATCCGAAGAGAGTGACCATTTTTGGCTCTGGGGCCGGGGCCTCGTGCGTCAGCCTGCTCACCCTCTCCCATTACTCAGAAGGTGCGTCTACGAACTCACAGGCATGCAGAGCCACACAGAGATACGCTCACACACAAAGGGCAACTTCATCATGTTGTCTTTGACGCTGTGGATGTGCATCATGCTTTGATACATGGTCACATCCAGAGCGTGCCTTGGTTTTGTTAATTTGAAGGAACACTCACCCTGTGTTACCTTATTATAGAAAACTGAGGTATGCCTAACCCTAACCCTAACCCTTTATACACTATAGTAGACTTGGGCTACAATCCAAATTGATAGGGTTAGGGTTACTAACTCCAGTGACACTTAGTATTAATGCTCCAAAAGTCCTGAAAGTGATTGTGTCTGGATTGTTGATGTGTCTAACTGTAAAAAGATAACTATAACCAAGAACAAAGAACTTACTATGACTGGAAACTGCTTTATTATTTGGTTTGCATTGCAAGGCCTAAGAATGGAGTTACACATATGGCATTGGTTTAATTTCCCCCCAAAATACAAGTAAATGCAGTTTTTTGAAACCTATTATGATTAATCAATTAACAGGATTACATTCGATTGACAGCACTATTAAATATTTATGTGCAAATTCTAAATATTCCTTTTTATTTATCTTTCAAACCACCGGGAGTTACTGGTCTTTAAAGCACTTGCTGGGATAGTCAGTTCTCCATCATCATGGGACCATTTACTGCAGACTTGTATTCAGATTTTGGAGCTGCGTATTTCCAGAAAGAATGTTTTGCCTGGTATCGCCTCGGTGCATTCAGTGTTGACAGGCAGTGAATGAAACATTGCTGAGTAAATGTCTTGTGATGGTGCACAATGGAGTCTTTGGGGGATTGGGCACCATCAATCTTCATCCATTTTTAAAAAGAGGGGAGATGACATGAGTAGTAGGAATATCCCCGATGGAGACTGGTGGTGGTGCGGGGATGAAGGGGAATGCCTGAAGGTGTGGATTGATGAAATGTAGAGCTTCTGATGGTGCGAGGTACCAGGGGAGGAGGAGTGGAGGAGGAGTGGAGGTGAATGGAACGAAGGCGTGTATATTGATTTCACATGGCAACATAACTATATGATTTTATTACGAAACTCGAGGCAAAATGTGGTTTCACTGAAGAACGCCCACGGTTAGCTGATTTAATTGGAAGCCAGAGATGGAGAGATTGAATGAAAAGCATAAATAGTTCCCGAAGCTTCAATAAACACTGTATAACCACAAGCAAAACAAACTTTGTAGAGTGCACTGAATACTTTCAGTAGCATCAGTTATTCAAATATCCCATTATGCACATTTTCATCAGAATATTCACAACATCTATTTGATCCACACATGCAGAGACAACCAGTATGTGTCCATTCGAGTGTGTATTCTGCCTCAGTATGAAAGCATTAGAGGAGAAATTGGAATGGGTTCTGGATTATCATACTGTATTTACATTCTCATCTATATGTATTATTAATGGATATCCAAAATCTCATGAATGAATGGTTTTGTGCAAATTATATAACAAGTGAGGAAAAACATCAGAAGTTTCAGAGGATTGGAGCTTCTTGTAAAGTTGCCATAAAGACGAGAGTACCATCATCAGCAAACACAGGAAGATCACAAACAACGCAACTCCTTCTGTATAGTTTTGAAGTTACCGTTCAGACTTGAACAGATACTTCACATTTGAATAACAATGGCAGCAGTAAAACACACTGCTAACCAGGCCTTGTGGGAAATGTCTGCTGTGTGCAAAACATAACTCTCAAGTCGGCCTGATTGAGTCACCACCACTGTGTGTTTGCATGAGTATTAATAGCACTCTCTGAAACAAAAAAATACACATAACTCCAGTGTTCCTAGTGTATCGTGGCCTACTTGCTGATTGGCATACCATGAAGCCTCCAATATAACCAGGATGTGAAAACTGCCTGCGGTCTAAAAACAGAACATCTTTTATATTCCTGTTTGTTCATGAGGCACACAAAGACGTAATTTCAATCATCTGAATTATCGTTGGATTTGTCTTGCGATTAGTTTATGCTGTAATGACAAGAGATAGAGTTTGAGAAGGCTTTGTTTGTTTCTCTCAGTGATTTGGAATGCCCTGATCTAAATCGGCCATAATATTAATGTGGAAATGAATAAATAATCATTTAATTTAGCATGAAGCAGTCATGTTGCCAGACGGGCGATCACACTAACAAACAGCGAGGCGGGAGATGAGACATGCAAGAGCCGGAGACACCCAGCAGGGAAAAGGGCACTGCTGACACAGTCTGCAGGCTACATCACTAATTAGAAAGTCAGCCATGGCACATTGAATATCTCAAAAACGTACCTGCAAACATTACTTTGTCCCTTTTAGATTCTGGTTTGGCCCACAGTCTTGAAAACCACTGCTAACAAAACAATGTCTGCCCATTGCCAGCTACTTTTACGTCCTTTTAAAAATACACATCCATGCTTTTGTCCATGTGTGAGTGTGTTACTAATACCAGCTCCACTCTCAGATCTGTTCCAGAAAGCTATCATCCAGAGCGGCACAGCGCTGTCCAGCTGGGCGGTCAACTACCAGCCGGCCAAGTACACCCGGGCCCTGGCTGAGAAGGTGGGCTGCAACATGCTGGACACCATCGACCTGGTGGAGTGCCTGCAGAACAAGAACTACAAGGAGCTGATCGAGCAATACATCACGCCCGCAAAGTACCACATCGCCTTTGGGCCTGTGATCGATGGCGACGTCATCCCGGATGATCCCCAGATCCTGATGGAGCAAGGGGAGTTCCTGAACTACGACATCATGCTAGGGGTCAATCAAGGGGAGGGGTTTAAGTTTGTAGACGGTATCGTGGACAGCGAGGACGGGGTGTCTGCCAATGATTTTGACTTTGCCGTGTCGGACTTTGTTGACCATCTCTACGGCTATCCGGAGGGGAAGGACACTCTGCGCGAGACCATCAAGTTCATGTACACGGACTGGGCGGACAAGGAGAACCCGGAGACCCGGCGCAAGACCCTGGTGGCCCTGTTCACGGACCACCAGTGGGTGGCCCCGGCAGTGGCCACGGCCGACCTCCACGCCCAGTACGGCTCGCCCACCTACTTCTACGCTTTCTACCACCACTGTCAGAGCGACATGAAGCCCAGCTGGGCCGACTCGGCGCACGGCGACGAGGTACCCTACGTGTTTGGAATCCCCATGATCGGACCCACGGACCTCTTCAACTGCAACTTCTCGAAAAACGACGTGATGCTGAGCGCCGTCGTCATGACCTACTGGACTAACTTTGCCAAAACAGGGTGAGTGTCATGTTGTGCCATCATTTGTTGATCATGCATTCCGACTGTATTGAAAGTAACCATTTAAGCAAAAACACAAAGAGTTAGAGACATTTTATTGGTTTTGTAATTTCCTATACAGAGGACAACTTTTGATATTCAAAAGAGACTTGGGTCGGGGTTTCAAAATAAGCTTCTGTCATTATTTGTGTATTGATGATTAACTCCAAGAGTCAAAAGGATCAAGCGGAGGTTAATAAAACAAGTCGAATCCTCCTCTGGCGCTGCAGCAACGCTGGATTTGAGAGGATTTGCTCGCTGTTTAAATTTGGATCACGTTTTTGTTTCACACACCTTGAGATTAGGTATCCGGGTCTTTGCAGCCCAGTCATACTGAAAATTCACTTTAAGTTGAATAAATAAAGTCTTGATCAGCTTCATAGGCTGCAGCGTTCCCTCCATCGCTCTCTGTTTGGCTCCCATCCTGCTGATGCCTGATCAGTGGGGGATTGGCTGCCTTATAGAAAATCCAGGAAGCCTCTTTTCTCCTGTTCCTTTTTTAAGTGCTCTGCCAATAAAGCAGTATTTAAAAGTGGCCAATTTACAACAAATCTGCCCAACTCTTGGAGAAGTCTCCCGTTGTGCATCATGGCTGGTTGATGCCACTTTAACTAATGTCAGTGCAACAGAATCGGTCTGTTTGGATATACACACAATGCAAATCGAATATGAGTGTGAATTTGTATCGGTTGGGTGTAGAAGTGAAATATTTCTATCTTAAAGCATGTTAGGCCTTGTGGAGACATGAAAGACTACTGAGACAGATCAAAGAAATAGTAAAAATTATGCTAGGCTCACATTATTATAGGAATCACAAGATAGGTCTGAACACAGAGATAGCAAGTCATCTAGAACAACTTTTGGTCATCAGTCCCTAAACCCCATATGGATTAGGGTTAGGGTTAGGATCACATTATTGTTTTGTGTGTTGTTGTTGGTGTTTAGTTGTAATTGGAAAATATACGTTTGCGTCATAATAATAATAGATTTATTTTGTTAGCGCTTTTACAGGTGCTCAAAGACGCTTTACAGATATAGTGAAAAGAAAAGAAAGGAACAACAAATAAATATATAGTTAAAGTCAAATAATACAAAAACAATCACACATTAAAAGCCAGATTGAAGAGGTGAGTTTGTTGAAGGTGGTGAGGTCAGTGCAGTCTCTGATGGGTTGTGGGAGTGAGTTCCAGAGGGAGGGGGCAGCGACGGAGAAGGCTCTGTCCCCCCAGGTCCGGTGATTGATGCGGGTGGGGATAGATAGGAGGTTGGCTTCTGATGAGCGAAGGCAGCGGGAAGGGGTGTGGTGGTGCAGCAGGTCTGTGAGGTAGGGGGGGGGCTGATTGTTGAGGCTTTGTGAGTAATGAGGAGGACTTTGAAGTTGATTCTTTGACGGACTTTTGACTGACTTTTGACGGTCATGTTTCATTGGCTTAATTATCACAGCTTCCCACAGCAGCACAGTGGCAGGGCAACATTTATTGATGAAGTCATTGGCAGCACAGGATCACATATTTTAATTCATATCATTACAGTTTTGTTGCCGAAACCTAACAAAGTAGCAGTGTTGCATGTTTACCTCCACCAATAAGGTGATCTTTTTGGTCCCATGTCCCTTGACATCCAAAAAAGCTGAATACAGCTTTTAGGCCAAAGGAGAACTCTTTAGCACTCCAAACGTATTTTCCAAAGGGTGTCAGACATACCCCTCCAACCTCTCCAACAACATATTTGGCAGAGTGAACACTAACCCATGCTGTGTTATTGATGTTTACCAGGCATCAGCCAACTTTTCCATTTTGTAGTTTGGCCAACTTTGAAATTAATACAGTTCATAAATCTTTTCAAACTTTTCTAATCTATTCCAATTGATCGATGGTTGAAACGCATTGATCCTGCCATGATTTCATAGGGAGAGCTGGGGGCATGGAGGTTGCAATGGTGGGATATTTGAGTTTTAAAGGGAGAATTATAACAATAGCAACTGAAACCCTGCACATGTACTCTGCAGATAAATAATACAAGCCTGCAGCTTAAACAGTCGCAGTATAGCTTGTATATGTCTCGTGGATGTGAAACTTCTCTGGCTCTTCATACGCACATACAACACACACATCTGCAGTAAACAGATGTATTTCGATTACGATTATGTGATGTCACCACTCTCACACACTCCCCCCCACACACACACACACACACACACACACACACACACACACACACACACACACACACACACACACACACACACACACACACACACACACACACACACACACACACACACACACACACACACACATGCAAACACACACACACTGGGAGAGCCTCTTGTATCTGCTAAACTATAAGCTAAAACACAGGCATTTCAAAGTGTGTGAATAATATAATAAAAACAGACAGAATGATGACACACAAATCTTGGCATTGAACATGGTATTAATATGGACTACTACATTTCTGATTTGTTGACATACCTACTAGGACTAGTCTAAAATATCGGCTGTTTTGATTTGTGGCATCTAATTAAGGGTTTTATTCATTAAATCTTTTCTTATGTAAAAAATCCTCACAAAAGTGAGATGTTTGCACTCATCTTTTCCTCATATGATTGTTGTTTAAGGGTTATGGTAAATACATAAAGGTTTTTGGATTCTTGGTTAGCCATTAAAGGATATTCCTTTTAGCATCTGAAAACTCGCTATGGCTGTCAGACATGGTATGTCATTTATAGACAATAATGTAAATTAAAATGATTGATAATGCAAGGAAAATAAAAGCCCATGGATTGAAAAGCCATTTCATGTATGTTTAAACAACACTTCATACAAGCTGATCTTCTCACTGGTGTCAGACAGTACAGCGTATCAATGAATCCATTACAGCTCCTCCAAGGTACATGAAAGCATCTGCTCTGGCACTCTGCTGACACGTAGTGCAACTGTGAATGTTCTGTTTTCATACACCTGACAGACTGAGAGGAGTGCATATTGAGTAACTCAACCTATGGCAAGCAGTCACTATCATTAACCACAGATTGCTTTATGGAAACATATGCGAGCGAAATATGTAATTTGCTGTTCAATGAGCATGGAAGGCCCCGGGCGTTTTCCAAGCAAATTCAGTGGTAGAGTAGTGGCATATTGTTCCAGCATATGTGAGCGCTGAGATGACACATGTTAACAGTGCCTTGTGTATAGTTCCATATGCAGACACCAGTTGGAGGGTAGACCTCGCCTTATGGCTGAGTCCAGCCTTTTTAATGAGAAAAGCAAATCAGGCACAGGTGGAGCTGTGTGTAAAAGATCCCCTAATGTTGTTACCTTGGCAACAACTATTCTTCCTGGGGTCTATACTCCCAAAATAGACTATCACAACAGAATGTGAGAGAAAATGTTGCCTCTTTTTTTCCTTTGTGCAATGTATCTATCTACAGTAGTTGAGTACTTTTACTCAAATACTGTACTTATCTACAAAATTACATATTTTGCTGTTTGGTACTGGTAGTTGCAATTAAGTAAAAGATTCAATAAGGGTGAATTATTGGTTACGTCATTGATAACCGGCAGGCTTGGTAGGTAAGGCAGATTTAAACGTGAAGTTCAAGAAGCTCACTTACTTTCATCCTGAGGGTCTTGAAGGAAGAAATAACACAAGCATCTTGTTGTAAAACACACTGTTGCTCAGTGCACTAGATGTTAACTGACATTAATTAGGCAGATCATTGGCTCCGACTTTGTTACTCCCCACAGGGAAACAGCAAGCTCAGCACAGCAGGGAGTGGGGAGAGTAATGAAGATGAGGTAGCATAGACTCAGAAACCTGGGTGGATGTTGGCAGGATGTTGGCTTGATGTTGGAAGTATGCTGGTTGGACTTTGGCTGGATTTTGGCTAGATGATGGCCTGATTTGGCCTAAATGTTAGTCGGACGTTGGCTGTGATTGGCCTAAGGCTCATTGAAGCTAGCTGACATACTGACAAATTGGCATAAATGGTAGAATATAGAAACGGCTGAGCATAATCATCCACTAAGCAGGGGGCCTGTAGAAAACAAGTGAAAAACAAAATATATTGCATAATCACAAACAGACTACAGGCATCAGCTGTGATGGACGAGTCTTACCTGTGATTGGCTGATTCCTCTGATATTGTTTTACTAAGAAATAATCCATGGTTGGATTTGAACTTTGCTTGATATATGTTCCGGCCTCCCATAAAATCCTTTTCAAACGTAAGGCTTAAAGAGATGTTTGAGCCGAACAGTTCCACATTATTAAAAAGTACAGGATGTACAGCTGGACAAACATCGTGTGAAAGCTGAGAGTAATAATGTGAGCTTTGTATTACTCACTGTACTTGCTGATCATACAAATATACATTCAAGTGCTCCAGGCACAGCTGTGTGCAACACGTTTCCGAGGTCAAGATGTTTTCCATTTCTTCCAGTCAACACAAACACACCCACACTGTTTGTTACTCTTACTGAGTTCATCAGTGTTCTTTGGTCGCCCCCAACATGCAATGCATGACTCATGATGAGTTCATCCTCTTTTTTAGATATAAACCTCAAACACACTCACACAAAAATACACAAACACTCCAGTGTGTCGGATCTAAGGTTTTTGTCTAGCCTTCACTCCCCCTCACATCTCCAAAGTTAATGAAACCGCTCCCACAAAGTCACAAGAGAGGCGGCCCTATTCCAAACAACAGAAAATAACACCCAGGGTGAGATTGAATATTAAGAAAATGTGACAACAGACCTCAAAATGTGTCATCGGTGAATGAAGGACATAGAAAACATCTTTCAAATTCACCTCAAAACGCATTAGCTTTGACAGCGGGAGCAAAAAAAAAGGAAAGGCTTTGACTTTTCGAGTAATGACTCATCTGAAAGTGTCACAAAGAAATGAGTGCTAAGTGAAGCTAATGTTGCATTATTGAAGGATATCATCATGCTGCTTGAAACTGATTTGGAAGAAAAAGTCACATAAATATGGCAACTGTGTTTTAAATTGTGATGAAGGTGAATGAAGTATTTAGCTGTGAGGAACGACATTCATTTTGAAGAGCTCTTTGGTTACATCTCGTTGATTATCATCTCTTCTCCTCTTTCAGGGATCCAAACCAACCAGTTCCACAGGATACAAAGTTCATCCACACAAAACCAAACCGTTTTGAAGAGGTAGCCTGGACCAAGTACAACCCCAAAGACCAGCTCTACCTTCACATTGGTCTCAAACCTCGAGTCCGCGACCACTACCGTGCCACCAAGGTGGCTTTCTGGTTGGAACTAGTCCCGCATCTCCACAACATCAATGAATTCTTTCAATACGTATCCACCACCACCAAAATACCTCCACAGGACACCACCCCTTACCCTTACACCAAACGATTCCCTGGCAAAAACAACTGGCCGTCCACCACCCGCCATCCGGGGGACCCGTCCGCCAACACCAAACAGACCACAGACCAGCGCAAGAGTGGCGACCTGACGGACGAGTCGGCGGTGGTGATCGAGACCAAGAGGGACTACTCCACCGAGCTCAGCGTCACCATCGCGGTCGGAGCCTCGCTGCTCTTCCTCAACATCCTCGCCTTCGCTGCGCTATACTACAAGAAAGACAAGCGGCGACACGACTCCAACAGGCGCGTCCCCACCCCGCAGCGAAACTCCGCCCCCACCAACACGCCCTCCACCACCAACGACGTGGCCCACCTGCAGAGCGAGGAGCTCATGTCCCTGCAGATGAAGCAGCAGCAGCTGGAGCTCGAGCACCACCACGAGTGCGAGTCGATGCAGACCCACGAGCACCTCAACTGCCCCCCCCGACTACACCCTCACCCTGCGCCGCTCTCCCGACGACATACCCCTGATGACGCCCAGCACCATCACCATGATCCCAAACTCGCTGGCTGGCATGCAGCCTCTGCACAACTTCAATCCTTTTGGTGGCAGCCAGAACAGTACCAACCTGCCCCACGGCCACTCCACCACGCGGGTATAGCTCCACCAGACGGAGGGTGTTGGAGACCCTGTGGATCGGCCACTGACCTCGCCAGGCTAATTTGAGTGGCTGCCAGTGTGAAGCACAGACTTAGCAGATGTTATTTTGCTACCATGCCTTCTCGAAAAGCATATACAGTATTAATTGATCATGAACTCATAAAGTGAATGTTACTACAGTAATAACTACTTGGAGCTCAGCTTCATGGAAGGTTTTTGAGGAGTTTTACCAAAAGAAAAGGCAACCAGGGGATGACTATTATTATTCTTACAGGAAAAAGTGAACAGTTGGAAAGGGGCTTTTGTGCCATAAATACACAACAGGAAGACCGCTGTTGAAAAGCATCAATTGAGACATCATCTTTTCATGATCCTTCATGACACCTGACTTGGGCACAGAATTCTACACCCCAGCCTGAAATGTATTTATGAAAACTTTGTAAAAAAAGAAAGAAAGAAAGACAGAAAAAGGTATATAGTTGTGCGTTGAAATTTAAAAATCTAAAAAACGCTAAAAAATATGTTAAAAGAGCTTCTTAATTATTTATTTTGGCTGAGATCTTTTGGGTTTTTCAAGCTTGTGCTTTCTGTTACGTGCGTGTAAATATATTGGAACATTCATCAATCTTTTTACGATCACAACCCATTGTTTTTTTTATCACAGAACGACCAAAATGCGAACACAATCCCATCCGCGGAGAGTTGCAGTGTGCCGGTCATCACATGCAATACTGTTTCCTGCTTTCGCTTCGTTTCCATTCTTTACACATTGCATGTCCAGGAAGAGCTTTACTCTCCATTCTCAGACACGTTCCCCGTCTGAGAATGAGGACTGACTTAATCCCTTCACCTGCTGTCATCCTGTTATGTTTCCAATAGTTTTCTTTGTGGGCTTTTTTCTGTCTTGCAATCTCAGCACTGCCTGAGCTTACGATGTGACCAGCAATGTATTATTTAGAACTAAAAAAGGCAGTGTTTTTTTGTATGAATATTGGTTGGATATGTTTGTAAAGAAATATATGTTAGATATTTCAAAATGTCATATGCTAGCAATATGTAAAGTATTGTGCCAGGCTTGTGATTTTTTTGGGTTACAAAAGCAAGTGAATGAGTGTAAATATTAAAGATATTAGTATCATGAAATTACAACAAAAGTAACCATTAAATCTCTTTCCGTTTTTGCATCCTACTACAAAAAAATGGAAGTACATCCAGAAGATTTTAAGCTACATTTGTAAATTCTATAAAAGATATATTCTTGCCATTTGGTCCCTAAACCAGTCAAGATAACAAAGGTTTTAATGTAGAGTTTCAAAATGCTTAGTTTGTCTAATTTCTGTTTGCGGTTTTTGCCTTAAGTGATAATAGAGATATTTCTGGCTGGACACCTGTATACACTTTTTCTGCAACATTTTTAATAAAATATCACAGTATTTTCTAAAAAAAGAGAAAAAGAACATGGATTTGATTGGTTGGTTGTGTGCATTGTGTTTGTGATTTAATATCCGCCTCTCAGTCGATAATGCAGGATACATCAACCCTAACCCTAGCCAAGCGGCATGGGTATGTCTTGTGTTCTTCTCATGTCTCTAGGGAGATACTTTGGATTCATGAGATAATTAGAGTGATTCCCAACATAATTTAGGTGTCTAGGGATACAGTACCAAGAAAATGAAAATACCAAAACATGAGAAGTTTCTCAGAACACAATTGGAAATCATAGAAAAGGAAAATATGAAGAATATGTGAAAGATTGTTCAGGTGCAATATTTTCGTTCCCATGATTCAGTGGTAATCCTCCTTTCAAAGCAGGTCGTCTTACTCCCGTTGCAGCTGTGTGGTTCTTATTGAGTTTGACTCGATCAATACCAGCAATTTAGCGCTTGAAACTTTTGAAACATTGAATTGCATCTGCAAACAGTTTGGACTCGGCCAGCTAAGCTAAATTTCCTGACTATTTGGGCTTTTGTGATTTGCTGTTGTAAGGGAAAACGCGACGTCTGAGCTGAATAGCAAAGAGTTTTGCCGAGCCTCCCCTGATACTCCAAGCCTCCTGGATTCAGTAAAACTGTCTTGAATTCCCCCCCCTCCCCTCTTCTCACTATTCAATCTATCGATCCCTTTTGCAACAAGCCAAGCAAATTAGCTTTTGACTTAAAACTGAAGTGACAGGGGGAAAATTGAAATCTTTAATAGTAATCTGCAGTTACTGAGGCGCGGTGGATGTCTCCATACCATCCAGTGTGACATCTGCAAAGCCCCCCGATAAGTAAAGTATGATGTGACGTGGAAAAATGTCTTTCATTAGCAGAAATGGTTTGATCCATAATATATGATCCAGCAAACAAGCCTTATACGTAGTGGGATGAATATTTATTTTCAGACTTGTGGTGCAAACAAAGCAGTGTGATTGTGCAGGCTCCCTTTTAATTGGCATGTTGTTTATGCTTAGGGTAATGGGGTGGAGGCGGAGATGGAGGTGGAGGTGGGTGGGCTGAATGAGGGGTGATGCAGGGAGAATGGCAGGGAGGTGGGGGTGAATGTGAATACTGGAGACTCGACTGGAAGTTAATTAAGCTGGCAACAGTGCTCCATCACTCAGCACTGGTCCCGGAGCTGTCATTCAAGCGCACCGCTCTCCAGGCAGCCATTACCGAGGCGTATCGATCGCCACGGTGACAAGGTAGTACACCAAATGGGAGTGGGCAGGGGTGAGGGGTTTTTCTTGGGTGTGCTTTGCTGTAAGAGTTGTGTGGTGTTATATGTTTCTCAGTCAGAACCTGCAAACAGGAATTAAAATGCAGGTAAATACCTCAGCGGCAAAGCCAGTTGATTACATTCCCCTCCCTGGGTAGCTGGAGCCTTGATAGATGCATATGAAATCTTCAGTCAATATATATGCAGTTAAGTGGTAAAAAGCCTGTGTTGCAGTAATGGCCTCCAGAAATCCCCTAACAGTTTATTTGGAAAATGTTGTCCTCAACTCACGTTCAGCCTCCTCCATAGTTTTCCTGACCAGGGGAATTCTAGACATTACTTGTTGTCCATGTTAATGAGTCTGGCATGATAGCAAAGGATTATGGGAATTTTGCCATCTAGTCTTTTGTATTTTTGGTGTTGGTACACTCACCAGTAGGGGACCATCAAGCCAACAGGGGGACATTGGCAGCAGGTTATTTGCCACTTATTCAGGGCTGCATTAACACAGCAGGTTGTCCCAGAGTCAAATTGATCGTCCAATGCTAATACTCTCATTGCATTTCGCCTAATATCGTGCATGCTTTCAAGTGAAGCGCACAGGCAGTCTCCCAAATTAGAGGATAAAACATCGTCTGTTGAACTATTGTCTTACTTGATCCAGCAATCGGTCATTTACTTTTCAGAAACTGCCTCAAAGACTCATAACTCGTACTATAGCTTAAGGGCTTTGTCACTGTATCTTGTTACTGGGCATTTGCTGAAATGACTGATGCTTTCATTTTTCTTGGGTTGTCACTTTCGTTTTTAGCCTTTTTTTTCTTCTTCTACAAATCACTTTATATTACATTAAACCATTATCCATCAATGTGTGCAACCAATGCATCTGCAGTTATGTCTTAAAGGGAAGACTGAAAGGTCATTCAGAACTGATATGAGCACTTTCCTTTCAGGGTAGAACGGCATTGTAGCTTTTTGGAAGCATGCTAAACCATTCAGTACACACTTCCTGCAGTGTATAACAACTTTAGCACTTAGCTAAATCCAGTTATACGTTACATTTTCTCTAATTCAAATTACGTGAACATATTTTTGAGTAGGGGTTTCATGATCCGTACTACAGGTTCCTGAGATTCTGAGGTTACATGATAGCTAATGGCCTGTTCCATCAATTCCTTTGTGCTGAATTCAATTGGAAAATATGCAGTTTGCCTCACTGGTGATCCTGGATGGACTCGTGCTGTAGCCTGGGGAAGCAGCTGGCCTGCTCCAATGTCCTCATTTCTCTGCACTTTGTCTCATCACAACATCACATGGATCCCATTCAATTCAAATGTTTTAAATAGACAATGGGAGAGGGAAGATTTCAGAAAGTCTGCTTTGGGTTGGATGGTTGATACACTGTAATTACACTGCTGGCTGTGGGAGTGCTGAGCAGATGTACAGCCATCTTGTGTGCTAAGTTGTTGCACAGTGGATCCCATTCAAACTCACAAGTGGGTTTCAGAATGTTTTATTGTTAAGCGTTCTCAGTCTAAGTGTGTTTTTGAGGTACCGGCAGAAATTCATGTTGGTAGTGCCAACTAACGCACACGGCATTCAGCAGTGAAGCCTCTGGAGGAGGATGTAAAAACGCTCGGGCTCAATATTTTAAATGTTTACCTTTCAACCATCTAAACTAGATTTAATTAAACCTTCAGAGGGTCCATATTTCATTACCTTCCTTGGAGTTGTATTATTGAAATTACTTATTTATGCCCCCTCTGTGATACTATACAGAAACACCAAAACAATACTGAGAAATGATTCCATCTCAGATGAAAGGTAAATACCCTCTATCCTGATTCAATTTGTACACACACTGACAGTGTTAAATAATACTGCATAGTACATTAACATACCAATCATTTAACAGTCTCAAAAGGAACCCATGTTTATTTATGAATCAGTCAGATGCAGCAAATGTGCATCGGCTCATGTCTTTTGGTTGAAATGTATGTCAAACAGATTAAGTGGCTTTAAACATAATGAGAAAATGTTGCTGGAGAATGTACATGTTCTGTAAAAAATTTCACTTTGAACAGTTTCATTTAATTTCCCGACAGCTTGCTTGCCAATAATGCGTGATTTGCATATTTACAATTACAGAAACCAAACAAAAAGGCTTACTAATTTAATTTATAGCACAAAATCATAGAAAACAAAAGAAAAACTTTGGGGAAAAGGAATTAGGTTTGTGATTAATTACCTGGAAAGGGGGCGTAACATTGTTTTTATTCATGTTTTTGGCTTGTGTTGGCTTTTGTGTAGGAAAAGTGCTCTAAGAACAAAGTTTGATTTGATTTAGAATGAATTACATGTGTTTACCAGACTAAAAACCCATACTACTTATCAGCTGATCCATGAAAAGTATACTCTACAAGAAAGACAAGCGGCGACACAAGGTCCTTGTTATGTTCAGTTCTACTGGCTTGCTGTTCATAATATGCTAGATGGGGACCAGTAAGGAATATCACAGCTCCAGCTCTCTATTGTGCAGCCTGTAACCAGGAGGCAGTGTGTCTCCCTCTGATGGAGCCACAGCCTGGAGGACAGGGAGGTCAGTGCTAGATTATATTTTGCCCTGCCGCTGCATCTCCAGATGAAACAGCTCAGATGATTTATGGCGCGGGCGGCTGGACGGCAGCGGCTCAGGGAGCAGTGCTTCCTCCGACCCCGGCAGACACACACCAAATTGGGTTACTCGCAAAACGCAAAGGGTCTGTCTCAGACTAACAAATGTAATCATGGCCTTCCTCCCCTGCAGGTTGTTTTAATACCGAGGGATGACAGAGGTCTCTCATCCCTCCATGCCTCTTTACGGCAGACACAGATGTAGTCCTGTCAACGTGTCTGCGGCACACACACAGCAGACCATGAGTTGCTTTTGCCAGCTTGGAACATAAATCACAAGTTTGAGACACAACCCAAGAGTTCTGTAGACTCTATTCTGTAATGAGTACTCCTAAAGGCTGTGAAAAGAGAACAATATCTGTTTTCTTGTAAGTCTCAATCTACCTTACCATGGAATTTGAAACAAGATTTACTTTAGCAAAGAAATGAATAGCATTGCTCTTGGAAAGTGATTTAAATGACACCCTACATGGTTTTAAGCTTCATCAACGACACTACATTACACTGAGCTTTTATTTAGCTTTATTTAGCTTTTAAGAAGTCTTATCATATACAAACCGCGTGGGTCATATTCTTTTCTATTTTCTGTGAAATTCACTAAGTTGTTGATCCTATAAGTCGACTTGGTTTATGCCACTGTTAAGCTGGCTCTGGTTATAGTCAAGCAAATGCCATGATAATCCAATTTCAAAGTCTTGCATTGACTTTAATGCCACAGAAACAAGCAGAGAATAGCTGAAGAAAGTACAAATGCTGACTCCTATTTAGGGTTTTATTGTTTATTGTTTATTTATTTATTGTTTTACTGTTTATTGGAGTAAGCTGCAGGGGGGAATCAATACATGGCATGACTTAGAGTTATAGGAGCATGTATGGATTATGATAGAAGCTGTTCATGGGGACATGTACAGTACCACGACAAACTGGAAAACCTTGAAATAACAAATGTTTGACACATTCTACTGACAAGCTAAATGTTCCTTCTTAGCTCCTAAAAGAGGTAGAACGAGAACCAATGACATTTAAACCAATCAAACCTGAAATGTATCTCATTTTATGTTTATTGTAATTGTATTTTGGAGAGTTT